AAGAAAACAAAAATCCTCACCACTGGACCAATAAACAACATTCTTATCAACGGAGAAAAGACTGAAGTTGTCAAGGACTTCATTCTTTTTGGATCAATCATCAACTTGCTCGAGGGAAGCAAAGCGGACCTTAAATACTTACTGATGAAGATCAAAAGCCTTCAGCCTTCAGTATGGGTTGTACCTCAACGTAAAGGAAACAAAACCCCTCACAAACGGACCAGTAAATAACATTATGATAAATGGAGAAAAGACTGAGATTGTCAAAGACTTCACATTGCTTGGCTCCACCATCAACATTCATGGAAGCAGGAGCCAAGAAATCGAATGACAGATTGCATTAGGCAAATCTGCTGCCAAAAACCTCTTTAAAATTGTTCAAGAGCAAAAGTATCACTTTGAAGGCTAAGGTGCACCTGACCCAAAACATAGTATTTTTAATCATTTCATATGCGTGTGAAAGTTGGGACCATAAATAAGGAAGACCATAGAAGAATTGATGCATTTGAGTTATGGTGTTGGAGGAGAATATCGAAAGTGCCATGGACTGCTAAAAGAACAAATAGATCTGTGTTGGAAGAAGTACAGCCAGCAAGCTCCTCAGAAGCCAGGATGGTGAGACTTTGTCTCGCATATAAACATGTTTATCAGGAGGGACCAGTCCCTAGAGAAGGACATCACACTAGGTCAGTGAAAAAGAGGAAGACCCCCAACGAGATGGATGACAGTTAGCAGCAAGAATGGTCTCAAATGTAGCAAGTGTGAGGGTGACACGAGAGCAGGCAGTGCTTCGTTGTGTTGTACTAAGTCAGAGCAGATTCTAACAATAACCACACCCTTAGAATTCCAAGCAGAGAAGTAAGGCAGCTGGCTATGTAGAGAGGATGTCTTAATTATGGATATACAGCATATAGAAAGTATCTAAGGCCAGGGTCCTGAATGAGATGATTCAGAAAGGATACAGACAGAAAGAGAAGTGAGTCCAAGATCCAGTCCTGGGGTAGTGGTGGCTGTGTGCCACTGAGTGTGTTCCTACTCATAGTGACCCTGCAGTATGGTTCCGGGGCTGTTTTAAGTACTCAGGGGAGCAGAAAGTCTCATCTTTTTCTTGTGAAGTAGCTGGTAGATTCGAACTGCTGACCTTGTGGATAGTAGCCTGACTCGTAACCCACTATGCTATCAGGACTCTTTATCCCGCTGTTGTTGTTGTTATGTGCCGTGGTTCTGACTCGTAGCGACCCTGCACAGGGTTTCCGAGGCTATAAATCTTTATGGGAGCAGAAAGCCTCATCTCTCTCCTGTGGAACAGCTGTTAGTTTCAAACTGCTGACCTTGCAGTTCACAGCCCAATTCGTAACCACTATGCTACCAGAGTAGCACTCTAGAAATAAATTGCAAGTGCTACAGGACTTTGCAGCATTAACA